TTTTCTTCAACTCTCAGTTTTTAATTTGCATTGAAAGCAACAATGATTATGATGATAACGTTCCCATTGATTATGATTATGATTATGATTATGACATGAGCCTTATTGTGATTAGCTTATAGTTACATTAGTTATTATATAAATAATTTCTTTAATATTATGCTTAAAATTAATAAATAATATAATAGTAATTAATTAAAAACTAGTGATGTTAATGCAGGTTTATAGATTGACCTTACTATCCAACATTTCCATTATTGTTTAGAGATTAATTCCACCAGCATTCACTTTCTAACAAATGCCTTTGTCATGCATCAAATGATGTCTTCAGCATCACATAGGTATATCTCTTTTTTCAATATTGCGTCTTTCATCCTGATTTTTACTATGGTATTCAGGGCCATGTAGTGTAATATTGATGTGTTGTTTTAATTTGTGTCCATCTATCTAATGTACACTTGAGACGAGTTCTTACCCTGTATCTACACTGGCTATACTTCTTTTCTAAACCACACAAATTTTTGTATTTGTATACAAAATTCAAAAAGACTACATATTTGCATTCGAATATTAAAATCTTGCCAAAGTCTAGACAGTGTACACGCCATGTTAGATTCTTATCTTGCTATCAATGCTCTCAGAAATTTATATACTGTGTTGCTGTCTTATTTACTTAGAATCTTGATTTTTAATTCAAATATTCTGTATTTGTAAGTAGCTGAGATATTTGACTCTTTTTTTTTCTGAAATCTCTAGATGCTCCTAAAAATCTGAATTTAAGGATTTATACTATTGTTTTGCAATTAATAATAGTATTATAGTAATAGTATTATTTTCTAAATTATTTTCGATTTTGATACATCCGGCTGGATGTATTTGAATGCAATAAAATCTAAATTTACGGTTTCATTTGTCAGTAATACAATAGAACTATGAACCGAATTATATAAAAATCCTTCACTCTTTTTGTCTAAAAAGTATGTTTAAATTAGCTTATAAAAAGACATCTACCTCCACTTATTCAATCTTTTACTCCTTCCATTTGTGACTCATAGATATAAGTCACGTGAATAGTAACTAAATGGAATTAATTTCAAAGCATACAGAGTTACACTCGCACTACAAACCACCCTTCCAGAAATGTTAACAATCTATTGATTTTTTACTTATACTTTTTTCACACATTTTTTCAAGTGCATTTGAATGCAACAGTTGCTCTCATTTTCTTAGTACACAGGAAAGTTTTATCGATTTGTTCAGTCAAAAGGTGTGTCATTTAACAAATATTCACAGTTCGTATTTTCATTAACAAATACAGTTATAATAATTTTGGATTTTACAATTAACTTATCTTTCTTATCACAATCAATGCTGAGTATACATTTTTCTTATAATCTAATTTATATCACACCCACTTTTTCTTAGCAATAATAATTAAATTTGTTGGAATATGTCTTGTCATTCATACTTACTTTCTTTCTTTTATTTCTGACGTAATAATTTTATACTTATACGTAAACTATCTAACGATACATCAACTTTTTAATCAATTTTCTAATTATACATGAAGAACGAGCCTAAGTATATCTTATCTTCAATTTCGTAATTTTAAATATTTTTATAAATAATTCATATTTTTGAGACAAATATATATATCGCTAGTCTTATTAATTATAGTTAGTTGACAAAATTTAATCACTGTCGACTGTTCTTATAAAAAAATATTCTATTGCAGTCAATTATCTGATTCAATTATTAATAGCTAATGAAATTTCCAAAAATGGTTAAAACCTACTTGATTCCATATTTTCTCATATGGTAAGTAGGTTAATAGACCAAGCTAACCAAACCCACGTATAGACCTGAGAAGTTCAAAGCAATAACATATTAAGGTTGTTGAAAGTAGTTGTTACAGTAGATGATGTTACATTCTACTTAGGATTTGTGTGTCATTACTGAATTCTAAAAAATAATTCAATTAAAGACGAAGTTAAATCCATCACAACTAGTGGGCTTAGACGCACAGCTAGATTTTAGTTCCGTTTTTAAGAGAATCAAACAGAAACAGAGATGTTTGAGTGCTCTTTAATCCACGGATTCTTGCATTTTATGCATTCGTCACTACTGGTAATATATAGCTTATGCTCTCTAGTCTGCATGACTAGAGATTCTAAAAACTTTCAAGTTACACCATCCGTATTTCGACTTTCGCAAAATATATTCGTTTAGTTGTTCGTACTAAGAAACTGTTGATGTCAGTCGAAGTAACTAGTTAGCAAGAACCTTACTCCAAAACTGGCGAGCATACCTGCCACTGTCTGGAATCACATCAACAATAGTTGTCATCAAAACCATAAACTTTCTGACCATTATAGCTTGTTTGGTGTTAAATATGCGATAAAATTTATGTTAAACCAACCTCTTTATACTAAATATCTTCCAGAAATGTTCAGGAAGCAATAGAGAGATTGGCCGGCACTAGCAATGGGCAGTGGTCAGTGTGCATAACAGACTACTGTTCATAAAAACATGGGGAACTAATATGGTTGACGATATTATTAAAACTGGTGCCAACTTTGCAAGAGAAGAAATAAGTGAAACTCTTATCCTGTAATGAAATGATACACCGTATTGATTATTGATAATTATATTTATTATTATATAAAACTATATATATTATATAAAACGACCGTCAATTTAAAATCATTTTCATACATTTTCTCAAATGCCTCTGTTTTTAAGAACGGCGCAAGCAGCTCAAAGTGCGCGGACTAATTATTGCAAGATATGCTATTAATGATCTACAATTGCTGTTGCGTACATAATGTGACTTAAGAATAAGTGAATTATTATTCACCACACACGAAATGAGTAACGGATGTATTTGTTTATTTTATGTATGTTGCAGTCCCCTTTCATATTTAGAACATTTTTGGAAGATATTTAGTTTTTTCTAACAGCAAAAACTTCTGCCTGGAATATCGCCATTGGTGAGAAAGTTTCTATTATTCTCTTATGCCCAGTTTAATAGGCGCCGGCTGTTTTCCTCCTCATATTTTAAAACCATCTATATATATATATTGATTTTCTTTTTATGTATATAATAAAGTTTTAATCAAGCTTATAGTTGTTAACTTCAAACTTTTCTAAATAGTTTTTTTTTTGAACAGAAGGTATTTTTACTTTTTTCTACCTTCATTATCATTCTATATTCATTATCCTTAAACTGTCCTTAATTTGTATTAAATTTTATAAGTTAAAAAAAAAATTGCGTGAATGGAATGGCTGCTTATATTAAAAGTCGGTTTTGTTCACCTATGCCAATAGCATTGTATTAAGTAGAAAACTATCTATGCGCCAAAATTTTGGGCGGTTATGTTTACATGTTCAATATGCGATAAATATAAAATGTATTCAAGACTCCTTATATATCTTACAACACTGCCGGTGAATTACAATCAATTGTTTTTATTAAATTCATCTTTTTTTCGAAACCTGTTCAGAATTAATAAAAAATTGAATTCAAAGAGTATTGTAATAATAATCTTATATATATTAAAACGTATTTAATTTTAATAAAGTTGCTTTATTAACAATAAAAATTGTTTTTATCTGATATTTAATTTTTTTTCTGACTACAGCGTGATATTTAATTAATTTATTTGGTTTTACCTTTTTTTCTTTTGATAATAAAACTTGCAATAATTTGATGTCATAAAAAATACACTTTGAATAAAATTGCTATTCGAATATTATCCGTTGAGTGATTATAATTCTAGCTTTTTGGTGACATATTACTCATATTAAAAAATTTATATGCAAATTGAAATTTAATTTCGATAATTAATCGTTAGACAAATATTTTTTACTATTTTATAGGCAATTGAAAATCACTCAAGAAAGTTTTAATTTGAATAATACATGTTTTATAGAATATATTTTTATATGCAGTTTATAGTATAGTACATATGAAATGTATATTTTTAGAAAAGAAACATTTGGATTTTTAAATAGGTTAAAATGACCAATTTGAATTCGTCTATTTTAGTGTCCAAACCTCTAGTTATCTGTTAATAGGAGTGCCTGGTTGGACTGATAGTATTCTGAGGACAGCTACAATCTGCTAATTTGGCGACTGGAGGTCTGGACACCAACGCATATAAATATGCCATTAGATAGATTATAGTCTGTAGTGCTGTAGTGCCTTTTAGTTTTTGGCGTTTCTCCGGTGACTACCCTTCACCGTGTCGGGGTATACACCATGAGCATGGGTTAACCATGACAATGGTTATTGAGCCATGACAGTGACAAAGCTCCAGTTATCAGATAACTGGAGTTTTGCACACAAAAATAGACAAATTCTGATTGTCGGCTTGAGTTGATAACCATAAAAATGGTTATAAAGTCATGACAGTGACAAAGATCTAGTTAGAAGATAATTGGAGGTTTGGACACACAAATAGACAAATTCAGACAGTGATGAAGCTCCAGTTAGCAGATAACTAGAGTTATGAACACACAAATAGACAAATTCAGATTTAAGTATTTATCATTACTGTTACATATAATAATATAAATATTTAATATACAGTGCAAAAAAATTTAACAGATATTTAAAGGTATTTAAAAATAATGAAATAATTATTTGTTTATTATTGTTTATAAAATAATTATTATATTGTACGCAAAACTGAAAATATATTTATTTTTTATCAAATAAGTACATGTATTTTGTGGAAGAAACTAAATGTGTAATAACCTTTGTGTAATTCATGAAATAATTTTATATTAAATATTATAGAGAATTTCAAAATATAATTTGGAAATCCTAAAGAACTTATTTGAAAATATTCCAACTCTTTTTGCCTTTAACATTTATTTAAATAAACTAACTGGAACTACTATAGAATATATGCTAAAATAAAAATATAATTAAATAATATATATTAAATATTTACTTCAATATATTTTATAATTATATATCATAATTCTCTTTTCAGTTAAAATTATAAAACCAAAATGCATCGAGCAAGCGCTACTATCAGTACGACATTAACACCAATGTCGCGACGTAATTTTTTAATATGGATGCAAAATGCTAACAATAGGAAGGTAACAAATATTAAATATTTAAACATAATTCAAATACAATATATATTTATTTTGTTCACAGCTTATTCGAAATGCAGCTGCTGCTATTTGGGCTCGTAAATATAGTTCAGCTGCACTAAATGAACAATTCGTAAATGGCACAAGTGCTGCCTATGTTGAGGAAATATACAATTCTTGGTTAAGAGACCCGCAATCGGTGCATACAGTAAGTGATCTTATATATATCTATATAACTAAAAGAATTAATTGATGTTAATATATTTCTAAATAATTTAGTCTTGGGATGCTTATTTCCGTACCAACCAATATTCAGGACCACCTAATCTAGCTCCAATGGGCAGGAATACTATGCCATTGTCAGCATTTATGGGTGCTGGAGGAGGAGCGCCCGATGAAAAAACAATTGACGATCACTTGGCAGTGCAGGCAATAATCAGAAGTTATCAAGTATGTAAAAGTATTACATTACATATTCAGAAACAAACCTCTTGCACATCAATTTCATTAAATAAGTTCATTTGCATTATTAAGAATTTTGTTAGTCGAGATTTAAATTTTATTTCTCCATGACTTTAATTTGATTACAAAATTTATCATTAGTGAAAATAAAGTTATAAATAAAACATTTTATCAGTTCCACCATTGCAAATTGCATGTCCTTCAGTGTATATATATTCTTATTATATATATATATATGTTTTTATACTTTAAAAACTATATTTTATTATAGTTTAATTTTTTTATCGTTTTTTTGTTTTTGAAGAATGCATATTAATTTTATTTAAATGTTTTAATTTTTGATTAGACACACGTTATATTACAAGAAATGTGATTAGGTCAGGTTTAATATCACTTGCATGTTTTCATATTTTTAATATTCTTCTCTCATGTCTTACAAATTGTTTGCAAATTATTCATTTTGCACCCTACTTCCATATATGCAAGAAGATAGATCTATAATTTGTATAAATTTATATTCTTATATTGTTAAATAAGTTGTAGTTTTTCAGTCATGAGTTACCACTGTAAGTTATGATATTATTATTAATATCGAAAATTCATATTAATTTCAATGTGTTAAAAAGTAAATTTGTAACTTATAGTGTTTATATTAATATTAGATTATACTTTGAAATATTATTCGGATACTATTATAGTTCTATAGTATTACTCTTATATTAATATATGATTAATATATATGTCACTGTTTATATATTACTTTAGTAATTTTCATTTTTTTCAGTTACATATGTACTTTTAGTATTGACTGTAATTTATTTAAATAATTATTATGTTCTCGTATATTAATTTGTTTAAAAGGTTAAAGCATTTAGTAGTACTTATTATATTCAAACTATATTTTTCCATGCAGCTTATTTATGTTGTTAATTATGTGAAACTATTAGAAGTAGTCTGTAGTTAATTTTTTTTTAAGCTATAAAAACAAACCACAATAAATACACATGTCCTTTTATTAAATATTTTATATAAAGTTAAAGCTTATAAATTAAAATTTACAAATCAAAATTATACTAAAATGAAATTCAAATATCAAATGCAAAATAGTCCAGAGGTCATTTGGCAGCTGATTTGGATCCTCTAGGGATTAAAACGCGTGAAACAACTGTTAGCAAGGATGGTCTGCAAAGACGTGCTAATGAAGATGTACTGCGGCAACATACTTCCTTCTTTTTTGGTAAATTTATTTAAAATGTTTTTTCAAATTTTAAAAAAGATAAAAAAAAGATGCTGAAATTCGGAGTTTAGCAAATTATTGTGTTTCTCTTTATTCCTAAATAAAAGTAAATAGACAAATCAAGATTTTAAATAACAAATGTTATTAGAATATAAAATATTTTTGCTACACATATCTTATCACAAAAAATTGGTTAGCTTTAATTAATTATATATTATTAACACTTTCTGCTGTTTTAAATTTTTTTGAGAAATTCATCAATTGTTAGCAAATAAAATTTTAGGTGTTTGAAGTGAACTCACAACAAGTAGTATTGTTGACTTATTTAATTTTCACTAACAAAAATATTTATTTGTAATTTTAATTTGAATTATTATTATATATTTTGTATATTAAAATAAAAGACGATTATTTATGTACTGTAAATATTAGCATTGTGATTGATTATATGCATTCAAAATACTTATTTGCATTTGTGTTATCATTTTATTTGTAATCTTAAAAATGAAATTCCTTAATGTCAATCATATGATATATTTCTTTTACCAATTATATCTGTTCATTGATTGTTATCATCTACTATAGCTATACTTTTCGTTATCTAAATACATACAAATTTTCAATTTCATTGTTTTATAATTTAATATTGTAATATTTTTTCTTTTCTTTATATATTTTTATAACATACTTCTTAACCCATCTTTACCATGTTATTTGCCAATCGTTTTATGATATCAAAATTGATCAATTAAAAATGTTAAAACAAAAACAAACTAAAAATAAAACAACAACAAAATTCAAAATTTATTCTAACGCAATTAAATAAATGTGTGTGTGTATGTATTACTTACAACAATTACAAATAGATTCGAGGACATAATATTGCTCACCTCGATCCTCTTGAAATTAATATTGCCGATTTGCCTGACAACAGCACAACGAAAGCTATTTATGCTAATTTCAATTTTGGTAAGTAAGTTAGAATCACATAGTGTTTGTGTAGTTTCTATCCATTATCCTTTGTATATATTTATTTATTATATATTTAATCAAATCCTTTTTCAAGTAGTTCACCACTATACCATTAAGTAGTCGATTATTTATAGCAGTAAACTGAATTGTTAATAATTTTCCAATAATAAAATTAATATCCTTTGGTGTTATTTCTGTCACCCATTTTCCCTGCATGTTGTAGGTAGTCTGCATCAGTATATAAGGATGTTGACAATTACAATTCTCATGTGGTTTAATTAATAAAAACCACAAACCTTCTTTATAAAGATGCGCTGAAAAAAAAAAATAAAGTTAAAAATATAACTTAACTATTATTATTAAATTTTAGTGTCATATTAATTTCTATTCTACTGCATATGTACTTAAATATTTAATTTATAAATTGATAGTAAATCAATGAACTTATTTTTCCTTGTTTGAAACTAGTTTTTATTACCATAGTTATAGTAAAGGTTACGAAATGGTTTCTTTTTTAAAACTGCTAATAGCAGATTAGCAGTTTAAATGTCTAAATAAATTGTAATTCATATAATAAAAGAAATATATTAAAAATTTATATATACAGCAGTTAGCTGACGACTACTAATGACCGTAAATGCCATAAGTTCTAAGAATATATTAGATATTCAGCTATAGAACTACTGCCAGTAGGAAGATATATAGAAATTTCATATATATAAATTTAAGCAGAATTCTTTCCAGCTTAGATTTTTAAATTTCTCTACATTCGAAATTTTAGAAACTAACAGAAAATGGTATTTTAACAATATCATTGTTGCTTTTACTAATAAAAAATAATGTATTCAATAAATATTCAAAACGAAATGCTAACAGAGTTATTAATATTCCCAGTATGGATACACAAAAAAGATAAACTCCACACATTCCTCTAATACAACCCTACTTTGTGTAAAAATAAATTTAATTGAATTCAAAAGTTCTTCTGTATTTATACCAATGTACTGCCTATAATCATTTTTAATATTATTAAAAATATATTTAGCTGGTGTTATTAAAGTCACTCATTTGTTTATACACACTATTCTTATTATCCAGTGCATTTAAGTGGGAATATATAATTGAAATAATATTTAGTTACGAATACTAAAGCTACGTAGTTTTAAATACACTATATTTATTAAACATTGCATTTAGTTAGCAATGTGTAATTAAAAATATATTTGTTGCTAATATTATATATATCTACTTTTTAATATATTCTTACTCACCAACGCCTCTAGTGGGATACAGTGTAATTAAAAAAATATGTGGTTTCCGGTACTAAAGCCACCTAAATATAAATACTTAGTACACTTCTTTTTCTTAGGGTACATTTCTTTCCAGATCCACTAGTGGGAAATAGACCCATTATTATAACCAGTTTTACAAATATATTTTTCAACACACTAAATAGTTAATTCATTATATGATTATATATTAAATTATTCCAACTTTTCACAACTCTATAACCAAACAAAACTCGTATAAATACAAATGTATAAATACAACATTCTTAAATAAATAAAAAGCTGAACGCTTTTCTAACATTAATTAATCTCTTATAGGAAATACAATATGTTTATTCCTTTACCGAAACGCATGTTTAAAATAAAAAAAAAATGCATTTTGTTGAAGCAATTTTTTCATTTCCTTTCCGAAAAAAAAAAAAATTGTTATATAGCATGTTGTAACAGAATTTGTTCTCCGAATTTCAAAAACAAGCATTAAATTTAAGTGATCACAACAATCTAAAATCATTTAACTAATATCAAATTAAATTTAACATCATTTATGTAGGCGAAAATGACATGGAACGTAAATTTAAATTGCCCAGCACAACATTTATTGGTGGCGAAGAATCCTCCTTGCCATTGAAGTATGTATATTTCTACAGTATTTTATTTATTTGATATAAACACTAATACTGATTTATTTTATTTCTAGGGATATTTTGAGCCGTTTAGAGAATGTTTATTGCAATAAAATTGGTGTGGAATTCATGTTCATTAATTCTCTGGATCAATGCAATTGGATTAGAAAACGCTTCGAAACTCCTGGTGTAATGACTTTTTCACCCGAACAGAAACGTTTAATTTTAGCTCGTTTGACACGTGCTACTGGGTAAGTACATTATATATTTTTTAGTTTTACATTATTATATTATTGAGTTTTAATAATATAATATATATTATTTTTACACATTGTTATATTTTTTTGTTGAAACTCGACATTGAGAGGCAAAAAACTCCCTGAGAGGAATGCCTATTTCGCTTACCTTACTAATGGTGATAAATTTTAATTTTTCTAAAACGTTGATATAACTACTCATTTAACCATTATCAGTTCCCAATCGCTATTAGTATACATCAGCGAAAAAACTGCATAATTTATCTTTCTACTTTCCGAATTCTGGCTTCTCATTTAAATGATATATTATATATATATATATATTGTTTTTATACAAAAATTACCTGGGTACAGACGAAGCAATCTTGCTAACTCAAAGTTGCAGAACCGTTGGCGCATTTATACATACGAAAAAAGAACAACGATTTCGTGAAGAAAAGCATTGAAATTATTCAAAAATTTCTACAAAAAAATAGTACAATAGTACCTCCTTAAATATTTAAGTGTTAATAGTCTTATGTCGACAATTTTATGAAAGTAAAAATTGTTTTTTTTAGTAAGGAATCTGATATGGTAAGATAAGCCATCATTTTTCAGAGAGTGGTAGGGCTAAGTATGTCTGCGATGCTGATATACCAATGGCTAGCTACCACTGTGGTCCAGATGTTGTCATCAAAAATATCCTGAGGGCACGGTTTTATAATTATGATATGGTTATGAGACCGTGACAGTGACAAAGCTCTAAAAACTGAAGTTTTGAGCACAAAGAAAAAAATGCAGATTTCCCTAAGCAGTAATTTGTTATTTATGTTGTATATAGTAAGTTTAGCTGAATCTGTCATCGTTTATAATTATGAGCCAAAAGTCTCAATTAATTTTTTATTTGAAATAACATTTGCTTTAATTGTGTATTATCTTTGTGCTTCTTATTAGGGTTATTCACAACTTCGAGTAATGCGCTCGGTAATTGAGTGCACTTCAAACAACATAAATATGTATTAATTGTTTTATGAATATTAAATAACTAATGAATAATGTTTTTTTGACTCAGAAATATATATACTAATTTAATATTGTGTTTTTTATATTTACAGTTTTGAAGCTTTCTTGGCCAAAAAATACTCTTCTGAAAAACGTTTTGGTTTGGAGGGTTGCGAAATGATGATTGTTGCTTTGAAAGAAATTATTGATGTTTCAACTGATTTGGGTGTAGAATCTGTTATAATGGGCATGCCACATCGTGGTCGTTTAAATACTTTAGCAAATGTCTGCAGAAAGCCATTAGAACAAATCTTCAATCAATTTGCTGGTTTAGAAGCTGCAGATGATGTAAGTCTTTTTAACTTTAGTTTTATGTTTGTTTTTTAAGTATTTGCAATTAATTCGAATTTGTCTACCAGGGTTCCGGTGATGTGAAATACCATTTAGGCACATACATTGAACGTTTAAATCGTGTTACAAATAAAAATATACGTTTAGCCGTCGTTGCTAATCCTTCTCATTTGGAAGCTGTAGATCCTGTTGTACAGGGCAAAACACGTGCCGAGCAATTCTATCGTGGTGATCAAGAAGGCAAAAAAGTAATGTCAATACTTTTGCATGGTGATGCAGCTTTCTGTGGTCAGGGTGTAGTTTATGAAACAATGCACTTGTCAGATTTGCCAGATTATACAACACATGGTACCATACATGTTGTTGCAAATAATCAAGTTGGTTTCACCACTGATCCACGTTTCTCTCGCTCTTCACCCTATTGTACTGATGTAGCACGCGTTGTTAATGCACCTATTTTCCATGTCAACGCAGATGATCCAGAAGCAGTTATGCATGTATGTAAAGTTGCTGCTGAATGGCGTGCTACATTCCATAAAGATGTTGTTATCGATTTGGTTTGTTATCGCCGCAATGGACACAATGAAATCGATGAACCAATGTTTACTCAACCTCTTATGTACCAAAAGATTAGAAAAATGAAGAATTGCTTAGATTTGTATGCTGATAAACTTATTGCTGAAGGTACTGTAACAGGTGATGAAGTTAAATCTGTTGCTGCCAAGTATGAAAAAATTTGCGAAGAAGCTTTTGAAGGTGCAAAGAAGGAAACACACATTAAAGTAATTTTACAAACATTAAAAATTATTTTTAAATAAAAAATAAAAATGTATAACAAAATAATTTTTTTTTTCACAGTATAAAGATTGGCTTGATTCACCTTGGTCTGGTTTCTTTGAAGGTAAAGATCCTTTGTTAGTGTGCCAGACTGGTGTAAAAGAAGAAACTTTAGTGCACATTGGTACCAGATTTTCTCAACCACCACCCAACGCAGCTGAATTCGTTATTCACAGGTTAATTTAATAACAATATTTTATAGTTTATATTACATTTATATTCATATTATTTAGGGGTCTGCTACGTATCTTAGCGGCACGTAAAGCTATGGTTGATGAAAAACAAGTAGATTGGGCACTTGGTGAAGCAATGGCTTTTGGTACTTTGCTCAAAGAAGGTATACATGTTCGCTTATCTGGTCAAGATGTAGAACGTGGTACCTTCTCACATCGTCACCATGTGCTCCATCATCAGCTTGTTGATAAAGCTACTTACAATAGCTTACAACATTTATATCCCGATCAGGCACCATACTCAGTTTCAAATAGCTCTTTGTCAGAATATGCTGTACTAGGTTTTGAACATGGTTACTCAATGACAAATCCAAACGCTCTAGTCCTTTGGGAAGGTCAATTTGGTGATTTTGCAAATACCGCACAATGTATTATTGATCAGTTTATATCCAGTGGTCAAGCTAAATGGGTGCGTCAATCTGGTTTAGTAATGTTATTGCCTCATGGTATGGAAGGTATGGGTCCAGAACATTCATCAGGACGTGTAGAACGCTTCTTGCAAATGTCATCTGATGATCCTGATTATTTCCCACCTGAATCTGATGAATTTGCTATACGACAATTGCATGATATTAATTGGATTGTGGCTAATTGTACAACACCTGCTAATTTATTCCATATATTACGACGACAAATTGCTTTACCTTTCCGCAAACCTTTAATCTTAATGACACCAAAATCATTGCTTAGACATCCTGAAGCAAGGAGCTCATTTTGTGATATGGTTGAAGGCACTGAATTTCAACGTATTATTCCCGATAACGGACCAGCAGGGGAGAATCCCGATTGCGTAAAAAAAGTTGTTTTCTGTTCAGGAAAAGTGTATTACGATTTAACAAAAGCCCGTGCTGAAAGAGAACTAGAAAATGAAGTAGCTATTGTGCGCCTGGAACAGGTAAAAAACTTAATTCAATATAATACATGATTACAATATTTATGGAATATTTTTGTTTATTATAAATGTTCAGATTTCACCCTTCCCCTTCGATTTAATTAAAGAACAAGGTAATATCTACAAAAATGCTGAATTGATTTGGGCTCAAGAAGAACACAAAAATCAAGGCCCATGGCCATATGTCCAACAACGCTTCTTAACCGCATTTAATCACGGTAAAGATATCAGGTAAGCGATCATTTTATAAATATATAAATATTACTTTAAATGTTGTCACTTATGGTTTTGTGTCAATTTTTAAAAGACGGCTTAAATCATCTATTATCGTAGCATTTGTATTTAATTTTAAATATTTATAAGATATTTTCACCGTTATCTTTTTGTATAAATGCTTAATTAAATTTTGCTATTAAGAATTATTATTTTTGTTTATGTTTAGTTATTTTTTGCTTCAAATGAAACAAGGTTTTTTTTAATTGGGCAATAAGAGCTGTTTCTTACACAATTTCTTTCTATATATTTTTTAAAATGATTTAATAATTATATATTTTATTTGAGTTCTTTACTTAATTATAATTTTGAATTTCTAATCTTAAATCTTTCCATTTAATATAATTTATACATTATTCTTCTTATTTCTATTTTAATATTTTGCACTTAAACGTTCACAAACTGCTGAAGCTAGCTATTAGTAGCACTCTTACAATGTGTTTGTTTATCTCTTTTAAAGCACTACTTTCTGTGTTATTTTTAATACATTCTCTAATTTTTAAGTTTTCGTAACCTTTTTTATTAATAACAACTTTTTTAACTACAGAACTTACGCTAACAAATTGCCTTAAGCAGTTTATGCTCTACCAAAATATAACTATTAACTGTAAATATATTATAAATTAATTCTATAAGATAACTATTTTTACATTAAGCTATCTAATTTAAATAATTTGATATTATGATATAACTAATTTTAATTATTTTTATTAATTTACATTTTTGGTAGTATTGCATTATCCAAATTCTACTACTTTTATATAAATTAATTACTATTTTTACTTAAGTTGTACGACTTTTTGAAATAATTCATACTTGGCTAATAAGTATATAGACTAGTGTAGTTGATTATGTCATGAAATTATATTAAAAACTAAATTTAATAAATTGTTTTATATTTACAAATTATAACTAATAAAATAATATAAAATTTCAATATTGTAAGGAATATTTTCAAATTTATCAATTTATTGTTATAAAAATTGTGATATAATAAATTTTAAGATATTTACAATTTTGTAATACATATATTTTTTAATATTATTTTACACATTAATTATATTATTTTACACACTACATTATTTAATATATATTATATTATATTTATATTATATTATATTTATTATATTATTATTATATTTATAATAAAATGTAGTATTATTATTTATAATATAATATATTATATTATTTTATATATTATACATTACATTTCATTATTTTATGTATTACATTATATTATGATATATATTTTATTACTTTATATATATTATTTTATATATTATATTACTTTATAAATATTGTTTTATGTATGACATCGTATTATTATTATATTATAACACTTTTTATATTATACTACTTTTTTTATATGGTATAATATAATATACCATACCATATAATATATATTATTTTATATTATATTATAAGATTTTATTATATTATATTATATTATATATTATATTGTATATTATATTGTAAATTATATTATATTGTATATTATATTATATTCTATATTATATTATAATATATATTATATTATAATATATATTATATTATATTATATTATATTATATATTATATTATATTATATTATATTGTATATTATATTATATTCTATATTATATTATAATATATATTATATTATAATACAATAATATGTTTTACAGAATATCTTATTTCTACTGATACCTATTATTTAACATAATAGTTATTCTTAAATATTTATTATTCTATTAAATAGTGTCAATTTATGAAAAATTGGTATAAAAAATATAAATTCGTTTTTTATAAATAATCCATTATACAAACAATCGAATGTGATTGTTTTTAGTATTATTAGTTTATAACTCTTAACAACTAGTATAAATTTTTACTTGAGTAAAATTTAAAAATACGAAATTGGCATTTTCTCAAAATTTGACTATATAATAATTAATCTTTTTGATGGCATAAAGCTTTAAGGGAATATTTGTGCAAACTTAATACATTTTCATTGCTTCTTCTTTCTCTATAAGTTATAACGAAATTTTATGTATTATTTGAATATTCTCGTTTTAATTTTTTTTTTTCAATTTCCCGTTTACACATTTTCATAAAGCATTGCTTTTTTTAAGATTTGTGTTATTTTGTTCAAAATTTTACAAGAGAATTAACTATTAGTTTATTTACAAAAATATATAATCTAATCAAGTTTTGAGTTCCATACTAAAATTAAATATTAAACGTTCCTTTGCCTTAATAAAATTAATATAAAAAATTAAAATTCAAAAACTAAATAAAAATTGAAATATTCACACCAAAAAACAAAAACAAAATTTGTCTCCGTTTTGTGTGTGTATGTGTGTATTATTGTTACAGCCAAAGTGATGAACACGCCTCCTCTACCACTAGCACAACAACCAACACTAATGCTAATACTGATAGTGATACTGATTCTGAATCCGAATCCGATACTAAATCTAAACCTTGGTTGAGTCGTATGTTCTCCTCAAGCTCTAAATCCTCCTCAACTAACAACCAAGAAGCTACAGGCGAATTTAATGCCGCCAAGCATTTCGATCTAAAGAATATGCGCCACGATTTTAATAGACCTGCTGATACTAAGACGGCATCTGATGCACGTAAATCACAAACCGGACGTAAAATTAGGTGAGGGCGGCAAAAAACCAAAAAAAGCGAAAAAAAAAACTGTAATAGGAAATGTTACTCCAAACACAAAAAATATGTAAATATTTGTTGGGGCATTTTATTTTTAATTTTTAGACGTTATAAAAAAAATCTTTTACACTATTAATTAAATAATTAATATAATTTTCAATCGATTTGCGTGGCTAAATTAAAATCACAATATATATTTATATATAAATTTATTTTCATTTAACTTCAAATTATTTTGCGCATATAATTTTTTATCTAAATTTTTAATTAGTTTATAAACTAATCAGAAAAGTACTAAAAATTTTTTATTATAATTTATTTTTCTGCAATTGGATTCAGCATAGAGCAAAATTTTTTCTGTTGTAATACTGTAATAAGTAACCTTCAACTATCATAACAATTTATACACAATCTGTGTTGATGTCCTTGTAAATCCTTCCTATGCACGTTTATGTATAAGTGAGTGCTTTGTTCCTTTTCGTTATTCACTTAAATTTATTACACAAAAAAACAAGTAAACCAAATTTATTTTAACATTTTAACAAAGTAAATATATTTAATTTTAAATTTATTGCTTGAATTAATTTCAAACAATTTGAATTATAGTTTTTAATTTTATAATTATTTTTTTCTATTGTTGCACATGTTTAATTGTTATTCTTTCAATAATTTTTCATAATCATTTTTTGTTTTTATGTCTCATTTCTAAATTTATTTATACACTCCACCTGTTGCGATATAATTTATAATTCTGTTATTTGTTTGCATATCATCACTTGTTTATTTTATTTATCATATGGCCATAAATTTTCTTGTGTCAACCGCATAAAATTTCAGAAATTAATCTTCCGTAGGGAAAACCAATTTCGTATGGGTTCAATTTGTGGACTCTTTCATTCCCTGATTTCAGGATTTAGTTTTCAGTTACAGTCATTACGTACTCTCTCATACATATAAGTCTCACATGTTAAGTTTAATATCATTAGTATTAATATTGCACCAATTATTAAGTAGTTAAAATAAAGATTATATTTTAATATTCATTAGTTTGTTCAATAGTTTTTGCTATTTCATATATTAATATTTTTAAATTACCATTTTATCTCTTCTTTTATTTCTTTTATAAAAATTGTGTTGATTTTTTGAAACAAGAACTATTCGATACTTATAAACTCCATGCAGATAATTTATTGTTAATATCAATTACAAGACTCAATAAAAAGCGAATAATATATGCTCTCGGTGATATCACAAAGGAGTTGGAGCAATTGAATTTAACGATACTTCCACATTCAGAGATAACTATTGCTAGTTATAATTTCCTCAAACTTTTCGGAGGGACACGTGCTAAACTCACAGGTTTCATTATATGCTTCTGCGTGATACTTCTGGGAATAGAAAACGTATTCTTCATGCAGCAAAAACTGTCTTTTCCCGTTTGAATTCAAAATAGAGCTAAACAGTTTTTTTTTTTTTGACGCATGAATACGTCTATTCCCAGTTCTACTCCACATGATGTCATGCCCAAATGCGCACACAAATTTGAGTCCTTTAATTTCCAAGTTTACTCCACATGGCATCATGTCTAAATGCGCACACAAATTTGAATCTTTTAATTTATTGCTGCACCTAGTTGAGGTGGCAAAATTTTTCCAACTTGATCTAGATTAGATTCAATATCTCAACCTATTCTTTGATTCCTCCATCTTACCACAATAACAAGGCCAACAAATTATCCAAACTTGCTAGCACACGAGCTGTTATCAGATATCAACCATTCACATCGACTAAGAAGATTTTCGATGTCGGATTTGCAAATTCATTGATATTAAACATTAATTGCCATCTACTGATTTATTTTTAATTGTAATTTAATCTTTAGCGGTGTTTACTACTCAGTCTCCCGCATATATCTACATATCATTTTATTCTATTTTATATCCATAAGTAATACTGAATACTCTTTTAAAGTTTGTATTTACAAATAGTAAATATAAAAAAAAATCTTACCCCATTGTGTAATGTATTGTGTGAAGCTTTTTTGTACTTGGTTTCAAGTCAGTGTTTGGATATCACTACAACAATCATTATTTTTCTAACAATGATTCCATTTTCTATACCCAAACTTAGCCGAATCTTGTGGAATGAGGACTTCCACTTGGTGTATGTATGTGTTATGCATTACATATAATATTCACTCAGAAAAACCTCTTAGCTATTACTTTACTTCATTAGTAATTTATATACCCGTATTGTATTAAAACTGAACATAAATGTGTAAAATGTATAGATAATGGCTCATAGTTTCATTTGGCTTCATACGAATCGGTCCACATTTGGCAGGGATTCATGTATAAATAAATATTTAATTTATAATTTTAAAATGTGTTACATTTAAATAACTTTTACATATGTTAATATGCTAGTTTGAAGTTAATTTAAATAATATAGACTATGAAGATTGTTTCGAAAATTAGAAGCACTAGACGTGATTAGAATCTATATAAATAATTTTCTTCTATTCCCTTAACAGTTATGTATATAGATTTTATTATTAACAACGTAATTTATTGAAAAACTGAAACTTTGGCAGGGTGAAGCCTATTTATTTATTTTTTTTAGTAAAAATTTTGTTTCAAAAAGCCGTACTTTCAATAAACTAAAAATCGGTAACAACTCTGTGGACAGACTAGCAGAGATCCTTATCTCTGTGACGTTGCGTCACAGCAATTAAAACCACAATATTGTCAAGTTTTAAAAGTATATAAAATTTTTAATTGACAGCGCCATATTAGTAATATTTGGTTTCTTATTTTAAATAAAGTAGATTTAATTAATTTAAATAGAACTTATTTCAATATCTAGCCATGATGTATTTTGTTTAAGCTTCAGCTTCGCTTTTTTATTCTATATTATGTAATTGTTCTTATGGTATATTAAATATTATTAATGCATCTCAATCTATTAATGTAAACATCTACTAAAAGTGTTTGTCCTTCTTTTAACAATCTTAAATTCAAATATTTGGTTTTTTTTAATATATATATAACTTAATTTTAATAAATATTAATTTTTTTATTATGTTATAGCTATTTTATTTTATTTATAAAAAAATTGCATGCCAGTAAAAGTAGTTGTTTTAGTGTCTTTTTTCTTTTTTTTTTTTTGAAACAAAAATGTCCCATCAAAATATCTCTAAGCAAAGTCTAAAATTAGCGTAATATTATATTCAATTATATTATATTAAAGAATTTTTAAAACTTTAACAATATTACTATTAAATTTTTTTTCTTTACATTTTTTATTTCACTCTAAAAAATATGTTTCACTCATCGCTTGATTCTACAACTCTACTACTCTTAACCTCTACAATACATAACTTTACACTACTACAATTCTGTTCTTCATCATTGTTATGATCGTAAATAGATATGCCGGCCGTCCATGCGGTGCTTCAACAGCAACAGGTTCAAAGGCTCAACATAATCGTGAATTAAATGCTTTATTAAATGATGCCTTATCAATTTAAATCATCGATAACAACTAAATAACAACACTTTTATGAACAACAATAGCTTCAATAACTACAAAAAACAACTACAACTACAACAACAACAACATAACTTATTATTAATATAAAGAATATATTATATATTCTTGACGTTGTTATTTATTCAGATTTTCTTTTTGAAAAAAAAAAATTTTTGGACCACTAGTGTGTTAGCTTATTTATATTTGCAACAAAAAATGATAATTATGACGAATTGTTTAAATGATTATGTATAAGTTTATTTTGAAATGTATCTAGAAACACATAAGAGCAAATGCTTTTGTCTCTTTGTATTTGTTTTTTGCAATGGAATTATTATAATTTTTAATATAATTATTATTTAATTTATTACATTTATAAAGTTAATTTTATCTCAAATTTGATTTAAAATAATGAAAAGTTTATGATAGTATATTTAGTTTTTTTTTCTCTTTTTTGTTTTTGTAAATTTATTTATATTTTTATTTATTATGCTATAAGTTATTTATGCAAAACAGAGTAAAATATATTATTAATAAATAATGAAAATGTTTTATTTAAATTATAATTAATTATACTTTAGTTATACTAAAGATAAAGAAAACAAATTCAACTTAATCAGGGATTAATTAAACAAAATATAAGATATAATAAAATAAAATTTATATATATACAATTTAATTTTTTATTTACGTTTTTGTTAATATTATTTTGCAATATTATGATGCTAGTTTTTCAAAACTATGTTGTAAATAGCGTTTTTTCTTTAGTTAGTATGCGTTTATTCATTATCCTTAAATAAAACATATTTGTGCTTTGTGTGAGAAAGTGCTTCAGAAAATTGAAGCAAGATATAAATCTAGATAAAATCTAAATCATTTCACATGTTGACTTTTCAAACTTTTAGTGAACACAAAATATAAATATTACTTTAAAATATATTCACACTAAATTCACACTATTTTATGTAATATTTTATTGGATAGTGAGTAATCTCACACGATGATTTTAATAGAGTAACATCAAACAATTATTTGATCGTATGCTGAGTAATAGTATCGGATGATTTTATCGGATATTTTATAGGATACTGAATAACATCGAATGATGATTTTATATATTTTATGAAATAGTGAGTAACTTCAAACAATAATATTAGATAATATCACGGATAGTGAATACTTATGATGATTTTATTAGAAAAATTATCTGATAGTGAGAACGCTCAGATATTGTTTGATCTGATATATCAGATATAGGGATAATTGTATGCAATAATTTTATCAGATACTTTATCTGATAGTGAGTAATTGTAAGCAATGCTTTTATCAGATACCTTATCTGATAGTGAGTAATTGTATAAAATGATTTTATTAGATATTTTATCGGATAGTAAGTAATTGTATACAATGAATCCATTAGTTATTTTATCCGATAGTGTGTAACTAACGATGATTGCATAAGATAATTTATCTACTAAAACTGTTAATTCTGAAAACCGAAAAATTATCTACTAACAATTCTCTTATCAATTTAATTTAAAGCTAAGACCTGAATTAGGGTAGGTAATTTTTAAAAAAACATCATTTCTTTATTGCTACGTAGATCAATTTGATTAATTTAGTAGAAAATTGAAGAAAAATAAAGTATTCAAAAATAATCTTATTTATCAAATGTGAAAAGTTATGAACTTTGAAGTATAAAAAGAATAACGCTCGATGTATAAAAAATAATATATATAACAACATTATCATATAAATTAAGTATAATTAAATATAAATTATAAATTAAGTGTAATAAACTAATATTTTTTACACCATTTTTTAAAATGTTGTATATATATATATTATCTCAATTTTAATTATTATAAAATATCAGTTATATATTTATATTTAAATATTTATATAAAGATTTATTTAAAATATTTTTGATAGTTTTCATAACAATATCTTCGTTGTTTTAATTATAGCTGCTGTTCTCTTTTTACTTTCGTAGTTTCTTGAAGTATTATATGAGTTTTAATATTGTGCCTCTTTATATTATGATTTATTTAAGTAATGCAATATTTTTTGTTTATAATGTAAAAATAAATTAAACAAAATTATATATGCTTGTAAACAAAAATAAATATGTATTTAAAAATTTTACAAAAGCATTATAAAAACAAATAAAAATGCTGTAAATTTAAATATGTATCAAATAAAAGTAATATAAACTTAATGTATTTGTTTATATGAAAATATTTGCATAGTTTATAATTTATGAAAAACGAGAGGGAGATAGTTAACTTCATTTTATTAATAAATAAATAAAATGATAAAAACATGAAGAGAAATATTTTTTTGAAAACCATAAAAACACGTATATGATAACTATAAATTTTACAACTAAATTTATTTTTATGAAAAGCGATATAAAGGTGATAACTGATATTATTTTACTTTTTATAATAAAAACAAACGCAACTTTTATAAATAAAAATAAGTTTTTTTAAAAGATAAAAACAAAAATTTTAAGTGACGATAATAAACTTTTTAAGGATCTTATTTAAGAGTCTTTAAAATAAGATCCGTGTTGACTTTTAATTTTAAATTAATATTGAATAAATTAACGAGTTGATTATATGATTTATAAGTACTGGTAGGTTTAAAAGTAATGCTATTGCAAACACTTTTGCTAATACAATTCAAGCCAAGTTTATCAAAAAAAATATGTACGACTTTTGAAGCGGGGTCTATATTTTTGGAGTCTGATCTTAAATATATAATGTTTGTCTATGAATACTAACGGTCGTGTAATTTCATTTATATAAACTTAAAATATCTTTGTTTTAAATTAAATATGAAGAAGATTTTTTGAATAAACGTATAAATGCAAAAACAAAAAAAAAACCTTTGGATATTGAAATTAAGAACATTAAATTTAAGTAACGTATGACATATTAAAGAAAACAAATAGCAGTTATAAGATTATGACCGACTTAACTGTTATATATGAACATTTCAAATATAAATAACTAAATATTTCATTAGAATATCTCAAAACTTTAATTTTCTTAAAGTGAAATAAAATAAATATTAATAATAATATTTGATAGCATAAAAAAACAAAATGCGTAGTCTTGATTGTTGTTTTGCAAATAACTACAAAATATTTTTAAGTTAGAAAATAAAGCGTTAAAAAAAAATTTTTTTTGGAGATTGTTACAAAAAACTTTAAAAAATTATAAAAAAAAAAATAAAAATTAAAACAAAATTTTGCACCAACTTTGCTATTGTAAGTAGGCATGGTAATCAAAATTTACCAGATTATTTATTAGAAATCTATCTATATATATATATATTTGCACCCCATACATAATAAAAATCAATAAAAAATATTAAACTAAATAAATTATTTTTTTCAATCAATCAATTTGAATTTAAATTTATACAAGGAATTTATGAGTGTATTTTAAAAAGTTATGAGTTGCCGAGTACAGTGATAACTAACGTAGGAATATTGTAGTCCTTGGCCACCATTTCGTAAAATATTTCTTACACATCTACTAATACATGAGAAACTATGTTTCTAAGTCATTTAAAACCAGAGCACAGAGAGGTCTATAGAAAAAGACGTTTGCTGTTATCACATATTAGCATCCAAGGTAATGAAATGGCCGACAAACTTGCAAGAAGAGTCACGGCCTCAAGAATGATAGGCCCAGAACCATTCTATGGTCTGGGCAAGGGAACTCTATCTATTCTTATAAATGGTTCAGAGGAAAAAGAAAGAGAACTTTATTGGGAAAGGTTACCAGGACTCTCACAATCTAAAATGCTGTTAGGAACTTACAACCTAAAACGCTTCAAAGATTGCAGAGCACAATTAAAAAACAACCTAAGAATTATTACGGAGTTATTGACCGGTCACTATAGGTTTAATAATCACATATGGAAGTTAGGAATTCAATCCAACTCAGATTGCAGATACTGTAGAGAAGAGAGAGAAACTGCATACCACGTGCTTGGGGATTGTCCGACCCTGATGCACAAGCGGATGAAACACCTAGGAGGGTATTTCACGGATCATAAAGATTCAAAACTAGGAAAGGTAGGCTCTAAACTGTCTTTCATTAAAGAAATCGAAATGGGAGAAACACTCTAACCCGATTAAGGGGCATAATAGATCTTTAAGGTCGCAATACACAATCCTTTCATACACCTTTACTTCTAATATATTTTTAACAGAAAAATCAAAATTTACAACTCTAATTCACCACAATTAAATTAACAAACGCTTACTCTATCATCCAATGCTTAATACCTAGAATCTTGAACACAAATAAACGACAAACGTCAAATACAAATACATACTTGCTGGTATAGCACCTTTTGGAAATGGTGAATAGCAGTTAACAAAATTGACAAGTGGCTTTGGAATGTAGATCCGAAAATTGATCCATTCATCGATCTCTTTTTTTGTATCATGTTTACTTCGAATCATATTTCAATGGAGCCATCATCAGTAAAGACGAATAAAAATGTGCACTAACAACCTCCATATTCAGTATCCTCACCGAGACTATTCCGCAGCTCTGCACTTAATATCTCCTGGGAAAAACGACGCCACCTCCATGCAGCAAGAACTGTCTTAGTCCGATTAATGTCAGAATATAGCCATGTGCTAAACATTTACTTGTTTATATATAAGTAAATGTTTAATTTCTCAATGCGTGTCATAATTTTAGCTCTGTTTCGCATGATGTCGCCCATCTGTTTTCATGTCTTCATGTCCTGATGTATTCAACTTCTTGTATCTGATCGACATTTGACTCGATCCCATGGAAGTTTCTTGGTTTCTCCGATTTGACCCAGCTTTAAATATAATTCTATCCATCATTAATACTCGCTTGCATCCATGTAATCCCCTCACTTTTCACGCTTTCTTACCCAACTTTATCCTAACCCATGTAGACGTATTTATACATAATACTTTTTTTGTTATGTGCTATATAAATCACCGTGGTTACCACAACAACCTATTGAACACCTATTTCGAATTACGTGGACTAACAGTCCTCCAGACAAATACAGTATCACCTTCAAAACC